AGACTGAAACAGGCTCCAGGCTCTGAGCTGGCAGTCAGCACAGAGCCCGATGCGGGGCTTGAACCCACGAACCGCGAGATCATGACCTAAGCGAAAGTCAGACGCTTAACCGACTAAGCCACCCAGGCGCCCCGCGGTTCAGAAGCTTTTAATCTTGATGAGGTCCCAATAGTTTATTTTTGCTCTTGATTCTTTTGTTTTTGGGGATGTGTCAAGTAAGAAATTGCTGTGGTGGAGGTCCAGGAGTTTGCTTCCTGCTTTCTCCTCTAGGGTTTTGATGGTTTCCTATCTCACGTTCAGGTTCTTTATCCATTTTGAGTTTATTTTTGTGTATGGTGTGAGAAAATGATCTAGTTTCATTCTTCTGCATGTTGCTGTCCAGTTCTCCCAGCACCATCTGTTAAAGAGATTGTCTTTTTTCCATTGGATACTCTTTCCTGCTTTGTCAAAGATTAGTTGGCTGTATATTTTTGGGTCCAATTCTGAGTTCTCAATTCTATTCCATTGGTCTATGGATCTGTGTTTGTGCCAATACCATACTGTCTTGATGATGACAGCTTTGTAGTAGAAGCTAAAGTCTGGGATGGTGATACCTCCCATTTTGGTTTTATTATTCAATATTACTTTGGCTATTCGGGGTCTTTTGTGGTTCCATATAAATTTTAGGATAGTTTGTTCTAGTTTTGAGAAGTATGCGGGTGCAATTTTGATTGGGATTGCATTGAATGTGTAGATTGCTTTGGGTAGTAATGACATTTTAACTATATTTATTCTTCCAATCCATGAGCATGGAATGTTTTTCCATTTCTTTATGTCTTCTTCAATTTCCTTCATAAGTTTTCTATAGTTTTCATCATACAGATTTTTGTGTCCTTGGTTAGGGTTATTCCTAGGTACTTTATGGTTTTTTTTAGCAATTGTGAATGGGATCAGTTTCTTGATTTCTCTTTCCATTGCTTCATTGTTGGTGCATAAAAATGCAACCGATTTCTGTACCTTGATTTTGTACCCTGCAACTTTGCTGAATTCTTGGATCAGTTCTAGTAGGCTTCTGGTGGAGTCTGTCGGGTTTTCTACGTAGAGTATCATGTCGTCTGCGAAAAGCGAAAGTTTGACTTCTTCTTTGCCAATTAAAAAGAAAAAATATTTAATGATACTTGTTAAAGATGGTGAGACAGACTGTGATAGGTGTATGGACTGTTGTAATGGGATTGCACAGTGTGGGAGAGAGATGGGGCTCAACTCCAAATACAGCATGGGCAAATGGAAATTTATAGACAAAGAGTAGGGTATGGGTCAGTGGATGGAAAATTAGTAAGTGGAAACAAGAAGTAAAGGGGGTTCTGGGTAAACCAACCAAACAGGATTCTTGCTGAAGACAGGCCAGGGTGATCAAATATGATATGAGGATGGAGAAAGATAAGGAACCTGATCATATATTGAAGGTGATGAGATATTGAGAGAGGAAAATGTTGGTTAAATTACTTGGTGGAGTTCTTACTAAAACTGGATTTTACATGGAAGTTAACAGATGGGCCTAAGAGAAGTCTCAGGAACCTGACTAAAGTTTAATCAAGGAAAAAATAAATCTTTGTCATATTATATCCATCATAACATAATAGTATATATTAAAGTTAGCATTGAATAAAGCAGTGATTCTCAAGTTTGAGCAAGCCTAGATTTACCAGGAGGGTTTGTTAAAAAAAAAAAAAACAGATCACTAAGTTCTACCTTCAGGATATCTAATTCAGTAGACCCTGGGTAGGGCCTGAGAATTTGCATTTCTCACATGTTTCTGGATAATATTATTGTCTTTGGTCAGAGGAGCACTCTTTGAAAACTCCTTGCATAGATGAACAAATATACTTTCAGGTCAGACACACTGAGGAAAAACCAGATTTGCTACCAATTCACTCTGAGAACTTAGGCACAACCTTAATGCTTTAATCTATAAAATGGAGTATTAAGAGCTACTGTGTAGCTGTGTACTGTGTGTTGTTTCTAGAATCATATGAAGTATTTGCCACAGTCTCTGGAACAGAGGATAAATCCTCTGTTGGGACTGTTGATACTATATTGAATGTTTGATGATGAAGATATCATTAAAAGATTATTATGCCTTTTTCAATACACATATCTAATTTATATCTGCAGACATATTGAGCAAATTCAGTACACAGGTTGAATATTTTGATCCTGGTAACATTAATAGGAAAATTACCTTTTGAAGTAGAAGTGACTATTTCAGTGAAGTTTCTCAAGAGAGATTTCTATTTTGTAGAACAAAAATTGATC